AAATCATCAGAGATTGGAAAGAATATGAATCATGGGAAATCATCAGATTCAGCTGGTAATAACTCCGTTTCTCCTCCTGATATATTACTATCGAGAAATCCTTCTGTAAAAAAGATTGCAAATTTAACAAATGGCAACAACAAGCGGCAGCAAAATTTGATTGGACAACATGATTTTAGCTGCATGACATTGACTCAGTCTGGAAATGACAATTCAGTGATAGTACAATCAGGTCGGTTTAATCTGTTCTTGATATTCTACAACTTCTAAGATCTCAAATTACTACGTATTAGTGCATAGACTGCAAAATTTCATGTTCACATCATCAAGAAAAATCTGATACAGGTATAGTTAAGTTCAAATGTTTCCTCTTTCCTGATCAAATTCATTTCATTCTTGCAATCTTTGTATGTACATATTTCATGATACATTTATTTTGCAGATGCATGCCAACATCGGCAGCGCGAATTGCAGTATCGTAGTGTGACCGGTACAGAGCTCATCAACATGTCCAATTCGGAACCAAGTTCTTACATTATGCGTTGCCAAATTACAACTAGAATTGATAGCGAACAACGCATCGCTCCAAGCACTTCTCAGACATTTAAAATTTTGTCAATTTCAAAAAAAACCTTGGAAAATGGCGATGAAGACGATTTAGATCTCACAACTTCTGTCATTTCGAATTGTCGACAGTTACATTCCCAGCCGACAGTACTTTTGTCCCAGCCAGCAACAGCTGGTGACACTGTCAAGAAAGTTCACTAATAAAAGATCATTTTGTAGGGAGATTTCCTGAAATCATGAACGATTCAGGGTCATTTCCGAATTTCACTTCGAACCCCAAATCATGAAATTTTTTTTGTCAGAATTTCTTTTGCATGCCATTTGATGAAGACTGCGGCCGTGTTTTTCGATTTTGGTAGCAAACATGAGAAACTAAAATTTTTTATGATTCTAAATGAACTAAATAAATAATTCACTAACTACATTTTTTAACTAATTATCGCTGTCTATTCAAGTTTCTGTTTTAAATTATTATGTCAGGTGCTAAATATTTGAAATTTAATATTATTGCTCATATTTGGTTGTTCCTTGTCCATCTTAGTTTTAGCTTATCATATTATCTTACATTTTAACAGCTATCTTATATATTCAGTGAAACAGCATCATATTTATTTATTCATCAATTACAATAAGATATAATCTTCTAGTCAATGGGTCATCATCATCATCATCATTTGTTCAGTTCATATCACAATGAGTAATCCGTTGATGAAATTCTTTCATAAAATTAATCTTTTTTTAAGTCATTTATTTTGTAATTTTTTTTTATTTCATAATTGTTTAATTTGGGTGACTCTCGTTTATTTGTCATATTTGTCTGTATCATCATCATATTCGGGTATACTTTTAATTTCCATTTCTGCTTTGATGATTCCAAGCATTGTGTATTGTTTATTCTTACACTTATTTCTCTGTCTTTCGGTGATCAAACATTCCATGAAATTCTGCTTATTCTCTTTTCAAATTCCCAATTCATTCAAGGAAACAGAAGTGAAGCTTTGAAAATTTCGAAAAAAAAGCTATCACACGTTGTATTGCTTACTTCCTATCAGTCCATTCTATTTATTTCCTTCATTTGCTCTTTTTACAGACACGCATACACACACACACACACATACACACACACGCGTACACACATACCCATTCCTTTATTTTCTACATTGTTATGCCATCAAATTTCTTGTCAAAATTTTGATGTATTTCTTTTTTGATGGAACAGTAATAAATATGTTTAACTTTTTAAAATATTATCACATATATCACCACATATCAGTATATTTAACATACAACCATGAAAAAAGCATATTTAACTTTGATTTTGCATATATTTTAATATGGCATGATATCTATAAATCTGTAAAATGTCTGAAATGGAGACATAAATCGATATCTCTCTTTACTTCGATCACAGCAGGTAATGATAAAAGTCACCAAGTTGCAGTTTTTTGATTCAATATATTTCTATGCTATTACTAATAAAAAACCGGAAATAGGACTGGAATGTAATTACAGTCAGAAATCAGTTATACTTATCGCTCCGAAAGACATTCTTTAACTTTTGTAGTCTGAAATATATACAAATGTTGTGCCATAAAATTCTGATCTGCTGACTATATGTTTTGGTTAAGTTAGATTTTTGCCAATGAATTTTACGTATTTTATTTGGGGCACAAATTTAAATTTTTTTTTGTCACTTTGAGGCGTAAAGCAAAATCATTTATTTCTATGTTAACTGTCTAGTTAATTCCGCTACCTAAAATGAATCACTTACTCATACCACCTATCTTTCTCGCTTTGCTTCTCTTTAAGTATGGTAGCAATGAAACTACCATACTTACATGTGAACTGTAAGGTGACAAAAAGCCCTTACAAACCATTTGTTTTACACTAATTGCAGAGGTCAAAGTTTAATTTGTAGGTTTTCTTTTTGTTTGGATCATGAAAAATGGGAAGATGTTAGAAAAGAGAGTGCTGACAAATATTGCATTTTACCTTGCTGAAGCCTTCTAAAGTCACTGATTAATCCCAACTATTCATTTCTCACGTCCAATCTTTCCGGAATTAAACTGTACTATGCATGGAAATTCATAGGCATGTCAAGAAATGATCTACTCAAATTGTATTTATTTGAACAGATGTCTTTTAAACCGAAAAGACCATAGTTCATAGAGGTATGCATCAATTCAGCACTTTTTTTTAATTTTATCGAATACTTTTTCAAAATCTTCTATTTGAGTATATAACGCCTTACTAATCAATTTCTGTATTTCAATATAGTCTACCAATATTTCGGTATCAGATTAAGGTTTATGATTGAATCTACATTCAGTGCTAATAGTCAAAAATGAAGTCAAATCTCCTCTGAAATTCAATGTACAACTTTTGGTGTTATGGAATAAATTATCTTTTCCGGGAGATATTGCAGGACAGAAACAATTAACTTCAGCTAAAAATGAGCGATGTCATAAGCGCAGTCAAGAATATCTCATCAGTTTTACTTAACCTGCAAATGAACAATGAAGTAAGGTTGTCGTCCTTTGACCCTCTGACCAGGAGGCATAGTCATTTATTGCACATTTAGAAAAGATCGCAAGAGATCAGTATGTCACATAAAATTCCTATGTTACATCATATCCGAAAATCGGCAATATGTTGTTAAATATCGTCTTTAAATGAGGCAAAACTTCCTGTAGTTACTAAAAAATTTGATTTGAGATAGAAACAATTGACATGATGACTCATTTTCATCTTTGGTACAACAAGAAAACTGAACTGAATTGAACTATGAACAATCAATAAAAATGAACTTCTCTAATTCGCAGTATTGTTTTTTTTGAAATTTTCAAAATTTTCGCCTGTTATTAAAAATAAAAAATCAATCATTGGAACAAAGTAAAATTACGAAAAATGGTAGGCTAATATGACAAATTCAAAAGACAATAAATACAAATATTAAAAAAATTCGAAGAGCAATAAATACAAATGCAAAAAAAACCAATTTGAGTGTATCGGAATTGATTAGCTGATAGCAGAGAAAATCAACTGAACATATTCCACTAATAAACAATGAAGAAAACACTGATCACTTTGAACAACTATATCAAAGGAAAAAAATCAGATTGAAAATCGAAAAGTTGAATCAATTTCAAATCCTAAAAAAATCAAAATTAGGAATGAAAAGTTTAAAAAAAATTGCGAATTCGTAATGATCTTTTTCATTCTCTCGAAGATATATCATACTTACCGATAATTACGTGTCTAAATATTAATAATGTTTAAATATTTAAAAACTCTTAGTAAAAAATGAAATATTCAAGAGTTTCTTCACCTCTACGCTTCATAAATCACCATAAATATTCGGATTTACTACGTGATACTCTCGATAACAATTTTTGATACGATCAAAGACTTGCAGACAGTCGATGTATTGCAATGTATTGCGTGGATTACCGAGATGTGTCGTGCAAAATGCCATGCAATGACCATTTTTGTACGTACTGATACCATTTCTTATGCAACAAGCCGAATGATCAGCCTGCAATAGTTGGTAGATAATAATAAAGGTGATAAAAAAAAGCAACTATTTATAGTTTACTCATTTTAAATTATTATTAAAATGAAAGAAATTATTAACACTATATTAATAACCTCATGCATGAACTTTATGTTGACCTGTCATACATTGTTTGTCCATTTATAGCAACGAGTGCCCGAATGTGTCCGAAATATCATTTTGATTCCACAAAAAAAATGATTATTTCAGAAACTTTTGACTTAAATAAAACGACATACCCCAGAAGTGGCACAATTAAAAGCCGTTTCGAGCTCATAACCGGGACATTGACTTGTTATCACTGCGGTCACAAGCTAAACAAAGTTTAATATGACAAATTTTGAATCATTGACAACTAACTGCTTATTAGAATTAACTCATTTGTAGCATCATATATTGCTTTTTTTGTAGTTTGGAATAGCTGTAGAAAACAAATGTGCAAGTCTAATGGATTATGTCGATGCATTCAGCTTCCTATATTATCCATCCTTTTTTTAATTTCATTGAGTTAAAAATTTTATAGATTCCTTAATCAACACTCTAATCCAGGAAATTAAATTATTGTAAAATTTGAAATAAAGGATGAAAAGGTTAATTAAAACAAAGATGCTCACCGATCGGTCAGTGAATGTGTCATAATTGCATAAAATTTGGCAAGATGGTGAAAGATTTTGTTTTTTACAGCACAGAGCAAGTTTTTGGTTTGGTGATAAGGAGGATTTCTTCGGTAATGCTAATCTTTCTTGGAAATCAACACCTTCAATAATTTTATCCAATTTTTAGTTTTGCAAAGCAAATTTTCCAGAAAGATACTGCAATAATTCCCATCTATTTGTTTTTATCAAAGTAAAATTTGTTGAAAAGTTGAAAAAATTACTTCGAACAGGTTTTAGCGTAGTTGCGATGAGTAACTGTGGCTGTGGAGCAAAAAGATTTGGGAAAATCGATTTCCAGAACTGTAATTTCCATAAAATTGAACTTAGAAAATTACGATTTAACAATTCAGTTCATTAGATTTCTGCTGCGATTTTATTTAATTGGAGAAAATGAATGGATAAAAGGGGAAGGGAAAGAGAAAGTTTGAATATATGATATGTTAATGAAATTTTTGGATATATTTGATAATTAAATTAATAAAATCGAAAAATTTTGTGTTTTCAATTTCGATATTTCCACAAAAAACATTGTTGAATCTTTAAAAAACAATAGAGAGAAAGAAAACCGGATTATTAAGTAATCCAAACGGGTCCCAAGGATTGTAGTAAAGTGACGGCTGTACTGTATCGTATTTTTGTGTTCGAGATGGAGAAAAAGAAGGAGTATAAAATTGCTTCTTATAGTGATAAATATTGTGCTGCCGTTGCTGCTGATAAGATAATTGGCTGTAATATATTTGCTTAATAAGTTGCAGTGAGATAATAGTCACTTTAGTGATATACAAAAATTTTTCTTTGTTTGATTAAAAAAGGAAACTATGAATGACTCAACCTAGGAAATTCAGCAACATGCGTTGAATTTAAGCTGTTGACACTTGGAGTCAAAGCAATCGCTTTTTCATTTGAATTACCCTAAAAATTGTAAAAATGAAATTCGACGGTAAACAGAATTTTTTAGGAAATTTGTAGGGATCAATTTACATATGAATTTAAAACATAAATAATTTACTCGTGCAGTAAACAATAAAAATCAGAAATGTTATATACATTAAATTCAAAAGAAAGACGTGGTTTGTATTCAACTCGTATATAAATTCAAAATGAAAAAGACGTGACACCGACTCTTGTCCTGAATTCCAATGGTTTGTATTCAACTCGCATCCTTGGCAACTGCATTATACGTCTCCAAGGTATACTAATTCCATTAATTTTACCAACATTATGTCTACTACCATCCTTACCTATAAAACATAAAAATAATGATGTGATTGAAATTACAGTGACGTGTTAAATTTAACAGCCAACAAAATATATTAAATGATATGTGATGATGAATTACTGTGTAATATTGCAAAATTGAACTGAGAAAATTAAATGGTACCATAAAAAGGAGCAACAGTAGCTGTTGATGAAATATATAGATGAGGTGCTGCTCGCACCGAATTATTGTGGTATTTACTGCAAGAAAAATTTGATGTATTTGATCTCTTCTTCGACTGATTACTTTTATCACTTAAATTTCTAATGTCAAATCAAACTAATTAATTTGTTTTATGGAGAATTAAAAACACTGACTGAACTAAAATGAATAACTAAACAATTCGCATTATGAATTTTTTTTTGGACATACTATCCGGTTGTGCTGTTACTAAATTCTCTTTTTCTACCGATTAGTTTTATCACATAATCCAAATTATCAATAAATTTCTTCAGCATAAAATTTGGAATAAAACAAACCGGTTTTGCAGAACTTTTGTATTGTGAAAACGAGGATTAGCGGTTGATTTGAAACCTCCAGATAGCCCATAGGACTTCTTCATAAACGATGATGATTTGGCCCTTGGTGCTACTTAATTTTTATCAAAGGACAGAATCAGAAATATCATTGGATTAAAGTCAGTCCGATTCATTTTACATTTTATTGAAATAGCAAAACTCGACGATGTTAAGAGAAACTTTGCAATATTGGCATTCCGAAGAGGCATTATTAACAAAAGGACGACCAGGACGAGATTCGAACTCACGCGGGGAAACCCCAATGGATTAGCAGTCCATCGCCTTAACCACTCGGCCACCTGATCAACAACTCACCTTCCAATTTCATTTACCATAAATTGTCGCCATCTTATCCTATCATTTTCATTATCTCTGGGATGATGTTGCAATTTTCTGATTCCATTTCGGACTCGGACAGTGTTATCGATCTACAATTGTTTGTTTACCACATACAACAAAACTTATCAGAGAGGTCAATGATTAGCATTAGTTACTATTATTCTTATAACTGAAACAAATAACAAGAGAATCAAATTAATTACAGTATCACTCAGCACTGCGAGACCAAACTCATCCTACGATCTGCCTGCTTATGATCATTGCAATAGGATCTCAGTCCTCATATGGTGGATTTTTCATGTCACAATAAAATGACTTAACTTCTTGCAATTTCAGAAGGATTGAATCATTCCCCTAATTTTCTGCCGATCAAACTTCTGCCAATCTAAAAAGCTTGCGTGGGAATTCTGTGGCATTCAAAAATATCCTAGTATGCTTTAATTTGTGCCAAATGAAACAGTTGCTCAAATTAAATTTTTTAAGATATTATTTCAACAATTGTTTGTATACTTACCGCTGGCTCAGCACATGACACGAAGCAATAACTCATCCATAAAAGTAGCATTATAACTAACTGCATAATGTCAGGAATGCAATGATATGAAGGAAGGATTGCGCAAAAACGAAACGATATTAGCTTATCGTATCAACCATCTGCAAATCATTATCTTCAATAAATAAAAATCCCACAAATGACCGCTACAACAAATGAAATGGGAACGGTGAAATCAGAATTTTCTCTCAGAACCAAATATTTTAACTTCATTTAAATTTATTTCATGTTCCTTTGTTTTTTCCATATTTATATAAATCAAATAGGAATATATCAGTGATGAAGAAGCAATGTGGTTGAAGATAATACAACAGCGGTAATTTGATTAATCTTTGCGAAGTTTTTGAAAATATCAATGAACTCGCAGAACACTTTCTGTTACAATAATGCATTTCCACTAATAGTATCATTGAGGTGATTTAAAAGATTTTGGATAAACACATTGGGATTTTCGAACTCGCGGAAAAGAAAAAGGATGCGTATGTCCGTCCACATGATATTGTGATGAATGTGCAATTTGTTACAATGAGGATTGTAAAATATTTCTGTGCTATCGGCACATTCTCAAATAAATGATATAAAAAAAGAAAAAAAAGTGCAATGGACAAGGGCAAGAAGGGATATGAGGATGGTGAAAAGATTCCGTTCTTGATTCTGTAATCCTCCCTTCCTCTCTTCTAATCTCCGTTCCTCTTCATCAATCGCATTGACACTAAACAGGTTCTTTTAATAATAAATTACCAGAAATTCTTTTTTTTTCCTGCTCTATAATGCATTAGATCCCACAAATTCATCCGTTTTTCACAATTCTTGTTCCTTACGAATGCCATCTTACCGTCCATCCCTCCATTCATAGTGAATAAACTGATTCATGAAAAGCTTAACTTAATATAGAACCTGTTCAAGGGATAAAATACAATTTATAAAAGTTTTGAGATTTATTTGTCCTTGATAATGATTGCTTGCAAAATATGCATTTACTCATCTGTAATTTTTAATTGCACTATCATTAAATTTCAGAAGCAAAAATGAACGAAATTATGAAACTTGAAACTTATTTACTCTTTTTTTTACACAGACTAAACATCAAGAAAACTTATCTATCCAAAAGCTGCTCCGTAAGTCTTCCGGAAACACAATGTCACCTTGGTTTACTAGGTAAAAAGGTGATAAAATAGAATTTCTTGCCCTTTGCAAATGACAAATTTTATTAAGCTGCTCATCCCCCTCACTCAATTAAACGCATACTCTTTATTTTTCCTTCTCTTATCATGTACTTATCAAGTTTAATCCACCACTTGAAAAGTGATAAGTGCGATATTTTTGATACGAAAGTTCTGACTTCGTTTCTGTCACTTGCGTCATTTTTGTTTCATTTTTTTCATCCCTTCTTTCCCTCTTTCTTCACTTTAAAAAAAGAAAAGAAAAAACTTATGCTTCTCCCAACCCCTTAATTAGTACTTAATTAGAAAGTTAATTTAATTAACAGTATAGCTGTATTGATTACTGTTTCTTTCTGTGCTCAAATCTTTTAATTATTTGACATATTACTACATCTCATGTAATGATACTTTTGTTTTCCAAAGTATAATAATCACTTTTCCTCCATTTAATTTCACTTACATTTGGTCACGATCAAGATTATTTGATTCTATCGAGATGTGATATCTATCAAAAGTAAATTTTTGTTGAAGCTAATCATGTTGAATAGAATTTTTATTTTCAGATTTGGCTGAAATAATTTATAAAAAATAATTACTTTTTCTTCAATTCTATCTTAAAAGTATAACATTTTGTAAAAATGCTAATTTACTGATGAAAGCATGCATTATCCAAAAATGCATATCGAAATACAATCATGCATTCTAATCTGTTTTATATTTTCAAATTTATAAAACATTAATAGCAATAGTTGGATGAACTAAAGATTTCTTTGGTTTTACCATTTATTCCACAGGTTATTGCGAATAAAAGAAATGATTTCCACATATTTTAAAACGGTGCCTGGAAGAATATGGCGAGGGTTATGAGCAATTAAAATAATAATTAAAATATTGAAATGGCAATATTAATGATGGTAGTCTATGCAGTTGAAAATAATGTCAATGATGTTTAATTTTTTTCAAACGTTTTTTACAGTTTTGTGGAACATTTCCACAAATTTCGCGGAAGTGACAAGATTTGGTTGTTGATAAATTACTGACAAAATTTCCATCCTTCAATGTTTCCATCAAAATAAAAAATGTCATTAATCAAACGAAGTATTCAATCCACTGCAATAAAAAAACATCATTACATGATTTTAATCTTTCATCTATTCTTCAAAATTTCGATATTTCATAAAAACTTTTTGGACTATTTCATCAATTGTGAATAAGATTATCAGAGTAGACCGATTCCCATATCATAAATGGACCTTTGTCACATCAAATCTAAGTTTTCGAAGATTATTTTAATTAACTTTTATAGTTGCGACGATCTTTCGAGGAGTTTTTAGCAAGCTGCTATTAATAACCTCAAAGTTGCAAAATTTCTCAATTTTCAAGAATTTTAGCACGATTACCAAGATTTGATAGTAACTAATAAGTGAACTTTTTTCCGCATATTTAATGTTTCTGAAACTTTAATTGAAAAAGAAAGAATATTCGAAGGTCTAAAATGATAATTTAAAATGAAATGTTGAAATTATAGGAGAATTATTCAAGTTTATATTAATTTATTGATATTAGTTAAATCTATTATTGAACGGAGGAAAATTTTCTATTTATATGTCTATAGACTGTGGTTCATGACAAAAATTAATGACTAAATGACAAAAAAATTAATGACAAAAAGAAGTAGCGATCAGGAAAGTAACTGCAAATCGCTACATCAGGTAGGAAATATCACCGGAGTTTTGACAATTACCAAATAATAAGAAATATTTAAAGGTAGGAGTTCATGTAGAAGAGAAAAGCAATAACAATAAGATTAGTGAGAATTTGCACCAGTTATAAACAACTCATTTAAACTGTTTTAATTTGCGTGATAGCCAATAAAAGTTAGTAAATAAACGTGACAGGAAAGAAAACGACAGGCAAACGAGATCGTCATTGCCTGCAACAATAATTATCCGACACATCTCTGATCATATTTGAGGAAGAAAAAATTAGAAGTTTCTTCGTTTGCAGAAGAGGAAGTAAAATAATAAAAATTTATATTGAGTTTTGAATCAATAATGCTTTAGTGACTCCACAAAAATCACATATAGTTTGAAGTCTCAAATCCGACTGATCTTAAGTGCATGAAAACTGCAGAGTAGGTTTTGTTTGCAACGATGTTCGTGTAACATGCGTAGCAAAGATTCATGGATTTAAGCGCTGTTTTAGCATTTCTTCCCCTTTCCACTGTGGAGATATTAAATTGACCTGCAACTACAATCTATCCTTCAGAATCCCAAAATTAGCATTAAAAAAATAAACATCGTGTGATATAGCAATAACAATAACTTTTTTTTTTAACAGACAAAAAAATTACTGAACATAGATTTTTTTTTGGAAAAAATGTTGAGATTGCAAGTTTAGGCGAGATCAAGGATCGATAGAATAGGAACAGAGTAAAAAATATATTTGTAGACAGAAATATTACTGGTAAGGAAAGTATCGCTTTTGGGTGGATTTAGGATTTGAATGTTGTAACTTTATGTTTTTCACCATCGCTTTTACTCTTTCCGGAAAATTTTCCTTTTGTTTCACTTCACCATCACTTTTACTCTTTCCAAAAATCCAAAAGGAATTTGCAACAAACAAAATTGTTAAAACAACTATCAAAAAGCAGATTTTTAGGTAGAACAATGATAAAGTCTCATAACATATCGATATCATCCGCAATATGTCGAATATGTCGTAGCGGAGAACAGTCAATTGCGCATGCTGAATCAACCATTGGTGAACCGCTAATATCGCCGTGTTTTTGCAAGATTTTTCTGAATCTTCTACAATCTTCTGATCATTTCTATCGATGTTTATTTCAATACATTAGTATTCCTTTACATTTTAACCAATGCAACCGATCCATACTTCCATCAGACCTCTGCTCATTTACGATTTCAAATAGTCTAAAATGAATAATAAAGGAAAGAATTGACTAAGTAACATGATGGACAGATATTGTCGATGTTTTTCTAATTTCTTATCGATAATTTCATTGTTTTTCATTTCACTTACTTGATTACATATTCTAACTCGATCGAAGTTTAGCAGTGATCTTTGAATTGCTCTGATGGATTCTTATCTTCATGTTAAAAATTACATTAATAAATCACTACTTAGAGGAACAATAGGCTTGTATCATCGGAGTTGTCTGGAACGTTGGCTTGCATTATCCAACAGAAATGCATACGAAATTTGTCATTTTACTTATCAAACTGCAAGGTATTGAGACATCTTCTAACTTTTGCTTTTTGGATTTTGTTATTGTAGATTTCAACTGGCGGTTCCCATCTTGTAGTACTCTTAACTTCAATTTTTAATCTTATTTTATCCATTAATTTACCGGTTACTTTTACTTCATTGATTCTACGTTAAAGGTCCTTTTGGAGTACCCAGCATAAATGAATAAAGAATGAAATTCCTAACTTCTTCAATAACTTTAAATCTGTAAGCTTATTTTTCATACAGTATATTGCTGCCACATTGATTATTTCACGAAACAGAGCAAAGTAAAATGGGTGCAATGTTTTCTGATTTTGTTATTAGTTGGAGATTTTGAAAATCATCGCTTCTTATTGAAATACATGTATTAATTGTACTGGTACAATTTTTCTGTTTTTAAGGATCTCATTGTGTTGTTAGATTTTTTTTTTGCAAATTTCAGAACAGGAAAGAATAAAGTTAGTTTTAATATAGAATTTGAGTTTATTTTTGATTAAAAAAGTGTGAATTTTAAAAGTTAATAAATTTTCAAAGATTTACAGACGATATCGACAATTTGTGAATTCCTCGAAAGCAGGAACACTTATTTAGAGTGTCGCAGTTTGGTTACTGATATTATTTGTTTTGTGTTCTTTACACCGATCGTTATCGGTTGTACCACATTTTGTCTCTCATCGGTAGCGCAAATAAGAAGCTTGCAAATGTGGAATAATGTGGCAGCATGTCAAGTTTTTAGTTTGTTTTGTTTTCATTTCCTTATGTGTTTATTTTCTGGAAACAATGGACAGATAAATTGAAGAGGAATGATTAAACGGATACATATAAGCAATTCTATTTTAATCCAACAAATATCATACATAGGCTTGCTGATTCTATCAGTTTTATTATCAATAGCATATTCTGTATGGCTTATTGTTATTATTGTATTTCACATTAAAACTTATTGCGATTGGCGAATCGTAAATGAGGTAAGTCCATAGTTTATTACTACCTTTACTTCTGATACTATGTGGAATTTGATTTATTTCTATTAATTTGCTAAATTCAAATAATTTATGTTAATTTATTTGGAGTTAAAAAAAGAAACAGCTAAGATTTTTCGATATGCCTTTGGAATAAAGAAGCAACGTAAAAGTTTAGAATTACCATTTATTTTGTTTTGATTTTTACTTGAGCATTAAGCATTTTTGAAATATTGCTTATCAAAGTTTTAAATTTTGCAGGAAGTATTAATGGTGGATCAAGAATCAACATGTAATTCATGGAAAACTGTTAATAAAGTAAGAAGACAAGGATGGGAGGGAGAGGCTTCGAACTTACGCGGTCAATTTCGACAGGTTGATTAGAAAAGATTGGGAGATCAAAGAAAGTCAACAGACTCTTTTACTATATCCCTGCTCATATTGAGTATATCGATTGCAGAGTTTTTGTTTGATCCATAGGATTCGGCTGATTAGTTCCAAAATGATATTCTGAATGATTTCTTTGCTCTTTTATGAAATGTTTTTTAAGATTTGGTTTAATTCATTCTTTCAGATGCGTTTGTTGTGCTTCGATTTGCGTTCCTTTTTACACGGTTTATGCAGAAAGAATTTCGGTCTTTCATCTGCACATAATGCAAATTCAGGTAAATTGATTGTAACAGTGATGAAAGTTTCAGATGAAGTCGGGTTAGAAAATAATTCATTTTATTGTGATATTAGAAATAAATCAATTAAACATCTTATTTCTGTAAATATTTTATTTCTATCGCATAATAGTGTATGCATAATTCTATTCGTCACCAAATTCTTTTTCAGATAATTTTGTGGCACGGGAAAGACGTACAAGTATTATTTCAAGTAATGCGTTAAATATGAATTATGATGATTTTGTACGCCATCTTCAACCGGAAGTTGGTGCGATTTCTGCGATTGGTTCTTGCCAACATACAATGTCTTCAACACCTGTACCTAATGAAGAAGGATTCGTATTTGAATATCCTTCTGTGAATTCGCACCTCTCCAGATCTAATATTGTAGCATAAATAATCAAATGAAGCTGATAAAATCGAAATCATGTATAAGTAATTCCCAGTTTTTTGCTTACTTATTTGAAATTCTTGTCAGCTTTTTTCAAATTTTTTCATACAGTTTCATATAGAACAGCAGAAAATTTCAGGATTTTGTTTCTTCAATTTACTCATTCACTGCCTATGATGATAACTTTCCTTCATTTTTTTTCTATTACTATTTGCTAAATATAATTTTCCTCATGAATGTTGAATGTTTCAGTCAAACAATCGTCATTTTTAATAAATACAAAACCAAACTTGTACAAATATGTTTATTATTGATGAAAGTTTCCGTTGTTCCGTAGTTCTTTAGTTGATAAAATTGAATTTTACATATCTGTTCTGAAAATCTTTAGAATATCCAATTATATAAATAACTTGCGAACATGGACTTTAATGTATTGATCGAAGATATGTCGGTGGACGATACAGTAGTTAGCCATAACATTATTACAGAAAATACTGTGAAACAAGTCTGCGATATTTTTTATAACTTGACAAGACACTGATGAATCTATTAATTTATAAACATTAAAATATCGGGATAAATGCTTTCTTCTTGCAAATACTTCGACAAACACTGAATAGTATTCCATGGAGTGATAAATAACGCTGTTGACACCAAATGACACTAATATCACATCCTTTCTATACATTCAATCATGTCACTTCCGTTCAACAACGTATCAAAGCTTTTGAGGGAATTTCTTGTTCTTTTTCATTCCTCTCAAAAATATTCATAAAAGCAAATAATGTGATTAATTGGTCCAAAGTAAATTCGCCATATAATCTATTTATTTAAAAAAATTGTTAGTCGTTCGGAACATTGAATTCCGATTCCGTTCTCTTAGTTATTTCGTATCAGTTCATAATTATCAAAAAAAGGCTTAGAAAAGCTTTTTTTTTGATACTTACTATATTTTCAGGAAAAAATGTGTAGCAAACTTAATTACACAACTGTGCTAAACTAGTTAACTGTATGACTTAAAACTCTTTGACCTGGCTAAGAATGTAGCTACCGAAAAAATACCATTGAAAAACAACTTGACAAGGAATTAGTACCAGTAATATTCGAAAAACAGAAAATTTTATTCAGCTTTTGTGAAAAATTAATAAATTATTGTCCGGAATATTTCAACTGCGAAATTCAGCAATAAAAAACGAATTAGAATGTTTAGCGGTTTGTCTAGAAAATTATTAAATAAAAAAATCCATTGTATGAATTTTTTGGAAAACTGAATTTTATATAAAATTTAACTGCTCTTTTGAATTTACTCAAAGCAAAGATAACTAATCTATTATTTTTTCAAGCTACTAATCAAATATAGCGTGAATTGCTGGAAGGTATTTAAAAATTATGTTTGAATTGACCAAACCATAGATCATAAAAGATAAATTTTCCATGAAGCAATGAAGTAACAATTCAGCACACTTCTGTTATTGACGTTTTCTGCATCGTCATTTTTTTGTTGAGAATGATAATTCATGGTTTCGAGAAGGTACAAATGTTGTAGTGCAACTGGACGATCAAACAATGACTGTCATCTTTTTTTGGCACAAACTCAATTTTGAAAAAAACTTTGAAGCTTTCTTTTTGTCAATGAAATTTTCTTCTCGTTACATAATCGAGAAATGAATGGCACGTTATTATTGCACAAAACAAAGTAATACTTTAAAATGATAGTTTTTTGATTTCAGTTAGCTTATAAGGCTTAATTTAATAAGTTTCATTTTTCAATTCTTTTTGACGTGACCTCATACAATTATAAAAGATCAGCTTCGACCGCTTTCAATGATTGTTCTAAGTTTCTGCTAGTCACTTCTTCAGTATTCATTAAAATTTTCTGAATGTCTTGAACATATCTTCGAAAATTTCAGCTAATCAAAGTGATATTGTTTTAAATGTTAGTTTGCAAGAATGAATTATTGCCAGCTTGCCAGTGCAATGCAATTATGATGTTGGTTCAGCAGTCTGAGAAGCGATCTTGCACAATGACCATCACATGATGAATCTATGCTAATCTTTCGCTTCAGCTTGATGATTAAGCAGTTGGAATGGTTTACTTTCTGTTTTAATATGAAATGAATAATATTAAATTAATCAAATAAAAAAATAAACCAGATCAAGTATCAAATAATTCAACTTTTGATAGAAATTATCGCCATCATTCATTGAAAAAGAATTTACAATTTAATTCAATTTAGTATGAATTGATATGCCAGAGAAACTTCTTATTTGGTTAGTACTGCGCGAGGATTTTCACATCATTTTCACTCTGCTTGAATTCATCTAAATTTAAAAATTGTAAATTAATCATTCTAGTGAATTATTTGTATTTTTCTCCAGGCATTTAAATTTTCAAGTGAGAGATCTGCATAATATAATTAGATCCAATTTCATGCTGATCTTTTCAACCGCGCAGATTTTGATGCCAGAAACTAGCTTGAAGATTTAACTACAGGTTTAGCAAAATAACTAAATTTGCATCCATAATGATTCAAGAAATATAAACAAAAGAAATAAGAATCATCAACATTATGTAACAAAAATGCCGAGGAATTGAGGGATTTGCTGAGAAGTTGGAAAAATTTAGGAGTTTGATGAAAATATGAGCTTTGATTTATCAAGTTTTTAAATATTTAAGAGAGAATTAATCAATGTAACTAAACGAATTTCATATCTTTCAGCAAAAGTGATGAAATGGCTAATTAACGGTGATTCTTCAATAATATATTCGTGATCAGATCAAGAAGTCCTTTATTTGTTCAGAATGTTAGTAAAACTGTGCAAAAATAAAGAGTAACGCTATTTGAATTTCAATACCAAGGATATGAATACAAGAAAATCTACAAGAAAGCACTTCATTAACATCGGCTTCAAAATGCGCCCCACTTCATTCGTCTCTTTGCATTCGGGTAACATACCGCATACCACAGAAGCTATGAACATGAAATCACAAACAACTTTTAAAACGTGGCAAAATATATCGTTATACGCACAGTTTAAATATTGCTTAAAGAGGTTGCCGTAAAATGATCATTTAATAAACCGTGACACTTTTAATATGTTTTATTTCTCATTTACACTTGTCATTTCACGCCTTAGCGCCAGTGACCTTTAACAATTAGTTGGGTGAATTTGAGAATGCCCCAGTTTAGAGATTAACGGAGATGAGAGGGGCAGGAAAGAGATATTATTAAAAAAGAGAACAATGATCAATAAAAATTCCGTGTTGGAGTTTGCAACCTTAAAACGGGGTTAATTGGGAAATATTCGAAGAGAATAATGAATTTCAATATTGTATCCTTTATTATTTTATTCTCAAGCAGTTCATTATTCTAAGATTATTTTTCTGTAAATAAAACCGTCCGATAAACTTTTGAATATTTGTAGGCATATTAGGGAAATTTTACAAGAAACATGTAGAAATCACTAATTAACAACTCTCTTGTCCTTCCTTATTCCTATATAAGAAAAATCTCGAACTAATTTATAAATTTAACTATAGAGAATAAGATATAAAAGATATATCCTATTTTTTCACTGATCCCTTTTACATAAGATATGAAAGGAATCAGTGAAAAAGCAGGATATATTTTATATAAGATATAAAAAATCCTACTTTTTCACTGATTTGTTTTAAATTTAAATTGTCATTAGATTTTTCCAACCACACTATTTTGGCGTTTTGTTATTTTTAAATGGTTTTAATTTGGATATTCAAAGTTCAAAGTCTATAAAACTATTGTCACATTTCTTTGCAATGTTCTTATTTGACAAATAATAAAAATTAACGGAATAGGTTATCAGGAAGTTGTTTATAAGAAATTTAGTAACAATCATTCATATTTTCTTTCTAAACTTAAGTTTTGAACAACGATCATTGTTTTACACTTGAATTTATTCTCCACTAACAAGCCATGAAGGAAAAATAATCATTAACAACAGAAATTATCCAGTGAGACAATGATCATCTATAAACAAATATTTATGGTATCATTTTGATATGGAGAAAGGTTATAAAGCTTTAAAAGCCATACAGGAAAAATAAAATTGAGCATCATATGAAATAGGAAACCATTCATTCATTGTACGATAGTTTCCAAATTTTTATTTCAATCAATTTGCTTAAAAAATAACATTTTATTTCAGTCTTCTACTCCCGCACATAAGAACGTTTGGCAACTTTCTCCAATCTCTCTTCCTGAATCTTTTTGAAATTTCAAGTCTATTGACTCAAACAAAAATACATCGCAAAGTTAAGAAAAAAAGAGTATGTATACATAAATGAGAATTTCTAGGAAAACAACTGAGATTCATCAATGGAATGTTTTTCTGTTACTTCTGTTTTTAAGACTCTCTTAAGTTTGATGTCCTTAAAATCATTCCTCATTAATTTCATTAGAAAATGACCTACTCCGAATATAGCTCGAAATTAAGGAAAAATACTTCAAGAGCGTCTACTGACCAAACAGAGGTCTAGATAAATCGATTTAAATTTCTTCTTATACTTTTCAAAACTTACAGCCGAATACACTGATCTGAAGCACCTTCTTAATTTAACATATTCTCCCATTAATTTAAGCTGAGATTAAATTTACTATTGATTTCAATTTCCCCTAAAATTTTTATGGAATTTCATAAATTTATAAACAGCTTATTCAAAAACCAACAAAATGTGAAGAAAGTATATGACACGTATTCATTCTTTTCGTCTTTTTTTCGGAATATGACTGTCATTCTCTTTCTCAATACCACGTATTTCCATCGGTTCATCAATAATCCACTGATCTTTGTTCTCGGTACGGATCACTGTGGAGGTACCATCAACAAATCGAGTTTTGAAAAGTACATTTGCATGGTTGAACATTCCATCTTTCAGTGATACTATTATAAACTGAAATCGTAAAACAAGAAATACATTAATAAATGAAACATACTTCTTATCTAAATGTACTTTAAAGCAAAGAATAAAACTATATATTATAAAAATAGAGAAATGAAGGCAGCCTAGGAAAAGAAAGATCCTAAAATTTAGAGACTTTAGAGACCTTTGAATTAAAAATACAGAAAACAATGCTAAGTTGCAACAAAAATGAAGAATTGCAAAGAAAATTCCCAAAATAAATTAGTGAAGAAATTTAAATCTCCTATATCTCGTATTAGTACCCCTTATTTTCCTTTAAAAATGTTAAAGAATATACTTGTGACTCTTTGAAATGTGTTTTGATCATAGCACCAATATTTTGAGTGTGTGACAAATCAAGAGCAGCATCAACTTCATCCAGAATATAAATTGGAGCAGGTTTGAATTTCAGCATTGCCAATACTAATGACAAGGCCACTAAAGACCGCTGACCTGAAATAACATTCTAATTTGTCCGAATATATAAATCAATCTTGTTCACAAAAAAGTAATTTCAGCAAACGCGTTTTAAATAAAATTCAAAATAACTCTGGCTGATGACACCATTGCATTTCAAATATTCATAAATTTCAATGATTCATCAAGCAACTATCTAACTTGCAAAATCCATTCAGCATATCAAGCATCTATTAATGTTTGGATAAATAAAGCAATTACCCACTATGAGTGAAATATTTCTATCAAAGCGATGTTCATTTTCTAAAAATAATTTCGAAAAGAGAATTATAATGTGATAACATATTAAAGAAACCGACCACCACTCAATTCGCCAAGTGAATCTTTCCATTTGTTTCTGAAAGCAACCTTTACTTCTAAACCACCCAATGCCGAAGTGGCACCGGTAGGAGGCTCCAATTTTGCACTTGTTCCAGGCAGTAACGTAGAAAAAATGTTACCAAAATCCTACAACAGATAAACATATTTGGTATATATCTTTTAAATAAATCTTAAATTTCATGAAAAAATTCTACAAGATTTAAGTTTTTAAAAATAATAACATAAATTACAAAAGTAATGTACGGGAATCCTTAACTACTTACTGCTCTAAACACAGCTAATAAAAAATACAACGAAAGTTCTTTCAAAAAATCTTCATTCTGAATTCAGTAGGGCAGCTACTCACTCGATTCACTTTTTCATGAGCTTTAATAATTTCATTTTTCTTTTTGATATCCAATTTTTCAATTGCATCTAACAATTTCGCTTTATCATTCATCAACTGTTCCATTTTGGCTTCTAATTGTCGACACTGCAACAAGAGAATGTGATCAATTTAAATAGTATGAATGTATCAACATAAGATTTTGTGAGAAAAATTATGGAAATTTCTTCCAAAAGTTTCAGTCCTTATAATTCTTAATTTTTAATACGTCACCCGTCAATTTTATTAAGACTTCAATTTCCCCGAGTGGTCCAATTTAAATAATTCATTTGAGAAAGTCGACAATTACTTGCTCTTCCGCAGTACCCAACATATTCATCGCCTTTGCATTGATACTTCTTTCCAGTGCATGTTTTCGAGTAGTCCTATCATCCAGCTCTTTCTGACCCTTTTGGATCGAATAGTCGGTAAAATCATAAGCAGTACCAGTTTGACCAAAATGATGTTTTTCTTCTACAATCCAACTATGCTGCTTCTCCAATCTAGCTGCCTGTAATTTATGAAGCAAAATTACTGGACATGCAAATAAAATTTAATGTGGCAAGAAATTCAAAGGTTAAACACAAAATAGTAATCAGATGACAAACCCTTCTAGCACAATCTTCAACATTTTTTTTCATATCCTGAATGTCTTTCTGCAGTTGTTCTTTTTTAAGATCAGATTCCTTCAAGCTTTTTTTAAGTGCATTCACAGTTTCTACTACAGATCGTATATAAGCATCACGTTCACGCATCCTTTCCGTGAATTTCTGCATTTCTTTTTTAGCCTCTTCCGCCGCTTCCTAAAAATTTAGATCAAAGAAAAACTAAAAATTTGCGTAGCATATTTCAAATTAATTTCCTTAAAATTGGGATATGATCAGTCTTCTTAAAGTCGAGCTATGCTGAGTTCGTTGTCATCAGCGGGGGAAATAATATAAGATTAGGGATGGCGGCCTACAGTGTTTGGAATTAAAGTGGCCTAAAAGATCAATATTTCTTATCCGTTAATTAGAGATAATAATTTTTAATTTTATGTTATCCATTGTTTATCAGTTTTAATTAGAGGTAATGATTTCTAATTTTATATTACTCATAAGCAAGTACGATTGTTAATCTTACCTTAGCTTTTGCAACATTACCTTCCAGAACAGTTATTTCTTCAACACCTTGTTTAGTTTCCTTTAGAAAAACTGATAATTCCTCTTCGTCTTCAGCAATTGTCTTTTGCAGTGAAGCTATTTCTTCTCTGCATCGTAGATAATGGTAAAGATGACGGTAACAGATAATCCAATGAAAAACTTAACATCATCAACAATAATCCTTTAGAGCTTAACAAACCTCAACGTTTCGAGCGAAACTCTTGCCTTTTCAAAACTGCTTTTCAAGCTCGCCAAATCTTTTTCTGCTGTACTCAAATCTTTTTGTGCTTCTTTTTTTTCTTTTTCCTACAATTATAAATGAAATAGATTGCATAGCTAAATGTTATATTAATAAAACTTAGTGGGAGAAAATACAAAGGAATAGTGTAAAAAAGTTAAATCACATCTACATAGATAATGATGAAGTAATAGTGATATTGGTAAAAAGAAGTCCAAATCAAGATGAGAGAACATGACAAATAATAATCAATAAAACAATTACTGATAACTTTGGATAAATAATAAATCAGAACAAACATACCTATCCAATGCTGATAACTTTGCCATCCATTTATAAGGAAATAAAAAACTGTACGTCTAAAAATTATACCTGGAACATTTTTTCATTCTTTTTTCGTTCATTTAAAACACCGATTTTTTCTTCCAGTTTTTTCCGTTCCACATTGCCATTTTCTACTACGTTTCGGTACTGTGGAATTTCCTAATAAAAAAATTTCATAATATTATTTTAACCACTTTATTCTTTATACTGTTTGATTCTTCATATTTACCATTTCTAAAATTCTTATCTGATTCATTTTATTATTTCATTCTGCTTTTCTTCTTTGCAATCCTTCTCATTAAAATTTTTTTATTTCCACATATTGTTATATTTATTTCCACATATTATTATACTATAAAATACTATAAAAACTATAAAAAAATATCACTTTTATCAGTAATGACATTTAGTATTTCTAAAAAAACTAGCAAACAAAACTTTAAAAAAGTCAAATAATTTATAGTGATATCTATACAAATTTTTGGTCACAAAGTTCATTTCAATAAATATTTTAATCAAAACAAGACACTTCTGGTTGTGTTAAAAAAATTAAAAAAAACCAATTCGATATCAGCAATTTCATTGCGTAAGATTTGAGCAGCACTGTGTTTCATATTATCTTTGATAGCTTGAAGACGTCTGGAGTACTGCCCATGCTCGCCACTCAGTTCAATATACTGCTGCCGAATTGGTGCTAATTTTTTTAATTGATCTGCAAATTGATTTATTAAGAACAGGTACTATCTCTGGATCATGTTTTCCTTGACACTCATTTAATACTGAAGGTGTAAGATTGGTGGAAAAGTAATTGAAGTTTCTGCATTCTTGAAATTTTTTCATTCGTCATATTTATCTAATTATTTGCCAACTGATTCCCAATTCTTTGAAGGATCTCGGCAACATTTGCAAAAAAAGATTCATTCAAGCTAACAAGATGCTAAAAACGTCGAGTCTCAAAAGTATGAGTTTCCATGTTATAGTAATTAATAAATTTAGCGCTAGTTGGCAAAAATAAATCGACTGTCAAGGTTAAAATTTTGATTAATGAAGATATAATGAATTAAAATGTATCATTTAAAAACAGTTTTTCATTTTCATTAGTACGTAAAGACATATACCTTCCAACTGACGCAGATAATAATCGATTTCAGTGATACGTTCAATATTTTTTAGTGTGGTATCTAGAGATGCCAAAAGAGCAATCTTGTTATTGCGCGATCCTGAAATTCATATTTGAACTATTCAGTCAACTAGGTAACTTATAACTTTGAAAAAAGAATATAAAAGTGAATAAAAAAGCCCTGCTGTTCAGCATTCAAACTCTGAAAAATCTATTTATTATACAACTTCTGGTGATAAAGTTCTTACTGTTAACTGTTGCGGAAAGGGTTAAAATCAACCTCCAGTTAGCACACCACCAGGATTGAAGTCAGAGCCAGCCAAAGATACTGACCTTGAATTGATATGAGCATCAAACGTTACCTGAAATTATAAATAATGAGTAAAACTATCTAGGTGTTCTTCGTAAAATTGATGACATGTGATCGAACGCTAATGTACCAATGCTAAACTCATTTGCTGATAATCACCTGTCTTTAAGGACCTATCCAGCAAACACCATTGAATTCAAAAATTTCCTTCTTCTTCTTATCGTTACATCATAAATTACTGCCAGGAATATCAAAATTTAAGAAAAATTAGACAGCAAGGACAACATAAATTGAATATCAGCTTATGTAGTGACTGATATGTATTAGCTTCCAGCCCTTTTGGAAATTTTACTTCTATTATAAATTTTTTTATTTCACTCTCTTTTAAGAGATAAATAATGTTCGATTCTTTCTAACTTTACCATCAAACTAAATCTCATTTATCGAATGTTAACAATTTTGAAATTATGACTTTGTAAATCAAAGGCAGCAAGCTTCAAGAACATGAATTTTTCAATCACTCCATTCATCGTTCTAACTCTGCTTCTCCTTCTCCTCTCGCTATGATTTCGTAATGAACAAAATTTTGAAAAAATTACAGTAAGGATATCAGAAATTCCGAAATCGATTCTAAAAGATTTATTTATGCGAAGAAAATCAACCTTCTTCGCATCACTGTCACTTGTGCATATGAAAACATTGCCGAACACATGACACATAGCTGGTTCCAGTTCCGGTGCATATTCAATCAAATCCTTTGCTATGAAAACATTTTCCTTGCCAACCTACAAATCAAAATAAAAAATAAAAAACTATTAAGATAGTACAAATTAATTTAAAAAATGTTACCCAATCGTCTCATTAGTCCAGAAAAACATTAACCGAACCCATGTCTATAAAAATCAGATCTACCGACCAGAAATAAACAATACGTCTCATAATATGACTATTTTTTGCATCAGGTTGGAACTGACGATTTTCATTGACAAATCTAAAACCTCTGAGAAAATTTTCTAAATCTGTGAACTAACCACATCTTTTAAAATCTGTGAACTAACCAAATCTTGTGCGCGCTTCAATTTACGACTATCAAGCACACGACCTTCGATTTTGTCCAAGGGCAGAATAGTTACTCGATGTTTCAAATTACCATTTTTCAATAAATCTCGGCCAATTTGGGCATTTTGTACGATGACATTATACAACTAAAGCAAAAATAAGATATGATTCACATAATAAATTTCAGCACATGCGATTTGTTCCAGATTCTTAGCAGATAAAAAAAATTTGATAATTTACAACAACAACACTATATTTTTCCAGGCGAAAATGAAAAAACAAACCCCATTGAGCATGATTTGCCCAATATTACGCTGCAACGTTTGTTAGAAAATTAAATTCTTTCTAACATCAAAAAGCAACAAAAAGAATTACAGAACTGATTTTAAGGCTTTAATAAAGATGTTTCACTAAATCAACAGAAAATTTTCATAAATAAGCTATGTTTGCCTTTATTTATTTAAGAAAAAGTTAATTTATCATAGCAGTATAAAAATACTGCAGTTAAATTGCATTTTATAGTATGTTATAATAAGCTAAACGACAGATGCATTAAAAATTTTTTCTAAATAGCATGCTTCGATAACTGTCAGCATTATTTCCAATGAGTGAAAAAAGAAGATTCTCCAAAAAAAAAAGTTTGAATCCAATATAACAAAAGCTAAAACTTACGGCCCCACCACCAGCAACTTCCAAAGCGGTTGCAAATCGAAAATCACGAATTCGGAATAGTTTAGCAACAATTCCATTAACTAAACCACGGTCAAAATTTGGATATGGATCCGAATAGTCGAATTTCAAATATGGATTTCTAGACAAAATTAAAAAATAACAATTTGGAAAAGAATATAGAGACTCTTTAGTCAATAACAGTGGTCAAAGGAGACATTCACTAAATAAAAAATTATCTACAGCTTGACTTCTGATCTTTGATTATACGGAAAAGAAAACATTCACTATTAAAAATAACCTAGAAAAAATTGTCTGAAAAGAGATTTATTCTAACTACCTGACTAGAGAGAATAAGTTTCCTTATGTTTGTCAAAAAAAAAAAACAGCGTGATTTTATTTCAAGGACAAATATTTACAAAACATTAATACCGAGCTTCAAAATCCATTACAGCATCAGCCAAAGTACTGCGTTCTGCAGAAAGCGTTCGGCGTTCGTTGGCAATTTGAAGTCCACTTTCTTCATCGAAATTTAATTCATTTAATTTAGCCTAAAAATGATATAATAGGAGAAATATGGAAGAATGAGAAAATATAATAATCTCGATGAAAATTTTAAGTACAGTCGAAAGTTAATTGTATTTGCAAAATAAAGCAATTATATAGTTTAACAGTCCTAACCATGAAAACAATGATAGTTGGACACATCTTTGAAACTGCATTAACAACTACGACCGATTTATTTCAAGTTTTGAAAATAAAAATTTTGAAAAGTCAGTTATGTCAAGGTCACTAAAGTTTTAAATATATTATAGAGTATTTTAGCAATAACCTCTATGGATCGTATTTGTTGCTCTAAATTTGATCGCTTACGTTCTTCCGAATCAGTCTGACTAGTAACTGCATTCAGTTCGTCTTTTTTTTTTGCCAGTAATGGTTCTAGCTGTTTCAACCTAGAAATCTGCATATGCATGGATAATAAAAAAAAGAAAACTATTTAAACAGTGGATCACATTGACTGATTATGCGTCGCTAATGATTATGCTCTACCCCGTGATAGAAATGCTTCGTGCGACTACAATTAACGTGGAGCTTTTGTCACCTCGACTGCTTTAAAGTACAAAAATATCTTTTAATCTTATTAACTGTATGAAAAAAAGAGTATATAACTTTGACTATCACAAAGACATACCTCATCTGAGCGGTTTTTATTTTCGTCTCCAACGCACTCAGTGCGCTTCGCTGCGCTGCAAAAGAAACCATGAACTTATCATTTATACAGCTGTTGTACAATCTACATCATTCAAAATGAAGCGCCACTGTCAATTTACAACTGTCTGTTCTCGCAATAATAAGCTATTTTAAGCTTCAACATGAATGATTAATATTAAATAATTTTCATAAACTTCAAGTCATTTTTAAAGCATAAAAGATAAAACATAAAATCAAACAGTAATAAAAGTGACAATCCTTGAATAGCAAAAATCCTATTACCAGCAAGTCCCAATATAGAAAAAACATTGCAGCAGACCTGTTAGCTGAGCATCTAAAGTAACGGCGTGTCCATCCTCATCAGTGATCATGCCTTTCGCTAACGCTTCCATTTTATTTCGTGCACGTTTTACCGCTTCCTCTGCCTCTTTGCCACGCCTTTCTTCACCACCAATTTCAGTTTCAAGTTTTTTTAGTTCCTGGCATTTCTTTTCTAGTTCACTCTTGTCCTACAGAAACAACTTTCATTTGACAAGACTGCTCGTTCACTGATGGAAAAGTTCTTCCTATCATTACACTTCACTTGCATCACATAGCATTTTTTTCAGAAATATTGTAAACTAGTCCTAATGACGGATATCGTATTATCTGTTGACTTTGAATAAAACTCTCCTGAAATCAGAAGATCACTTTTGATATACTTTACTAAAAATTCTAACCGACTGAATACTTTTCGTCTTGCGATCAATAGCAGTTCTCGTTTCTTTCTCCTTATCACGCATAGCATCACGATTTGCCTCTGCTGCCGTTAATGCTGCCATCGTACTTTTAATATGGTCTTCAATTTCCTTTTTTTCTCTTCCAGTTTTCTATAAGAAAATATTCCTTACTTTTTGAATTTCAAGGAGTGTATTTTATGCAAAAAGTTTGGCTTTTCTCAAGTACTTGAAACTGTTTTTAATAAACATGAATATTTATAATTTAATGAGGAATTCATGAACATGCCTCTCTTTCCATAAAATTTCGAGTTTAGAAAATTTTTAAACTTTTCACTTTTATTATAATCTGAGGTAAAAAATACCCACATTATTCTTGTTATCTTCGAGTTCTTTAAGACGGAGTTCTTTCCTATCCAATTCTTCTTTTGTATCGTAAATCACTTTGTCAACTTCGCGAATTTGCTTTTTCACGGTAGCGATATCATCTTGTAACGTACGGCTGTGGGTCTAAAATACTGATACACTGTAGCGACAAATCATAAGAAAACTGTTACATTCTTTTTTAAAAAAACATGCAATATTCGAATAAAAACATCTCTCTGCGCATTCTTGCCACCTAATTTTTTTATTCTTGATTTAGGTTATAATTTTTTAGCAAATTCCGAGCTTTTCCTTGCCAATATATGCAATCAGCGCTTACCAGCGAGCTCATGAAATCAAATGCGATAAGCTTCCGTTGAAGTGCTTCAAGCTCTCGCCCAATTTTCTGATATTCAAGGAAATTACTACGGTCTCGTTTCAACTTCTCCACCTGTGGAAGGATGTCTTCCTCCATCAGCTAAAAATTATTTTCAAAGATATTTTGAACAAAAACTATTACTTCTTTAAATCAAATGCTTCAAAGTATTGGAAGCATTTAATGAAAATGGCCGATGTTTACATAAAAATGAACTTGACAGCACATTGGTATTCTTAAACAGTACCTGTTTGATTTCAGCCATTTTTCCTTCCTTTTTTTCTATTGTACGTACAGCACTTTGCTTTTTTGCTTCATACATTCGCGTTCCTGCCGCTTCTTCAATCATTCCTAAGATCTAAAAATATCCTCTGCAATAATTGTGATCATTAATTTGCCATTTAATTACAATCAATAGAATAATTTAATCTTTTAATGTATATATCACACTTTATGCTTTAGTCTGGAATATCGGAGATTCACATTCTTACTTTCAATGAACCTACAAAAGTCGATGTTAATCAAACTGGAGAGAAAACAACTGATAAAAGAACACTAAACACGGCTCATTTTTTAATGATTTCTTACGTTATTAAAATAAAATCAACAAACTACTCGAACCTCCATCGGTTTCATATTAAGGACTTTTGTGATTCGTCCTTGCATGATTAAGAAATGTGGATTGTTTACATTCAAGCCAACTGTACGAAACATATCTGCAACTCTGCTATTTGTCGCTGCAGCACCATTGATGGTATATGTATTTCGACCATTTATTACTATCTGCAGTACGAATGCCCTCGATCAAACGAAAAAGAATAAAATCGACTAAATGTTCAAAAAGGACACTTCTAATACTATTTCAAGTTTTCAATTTCCCACATAATCTGCGCTGCAAATTTGATTGTAGAGTTGTAGAAGAATCGATGTTAATCCTTCCAGCAAGTAAGGGCAAAAGTTTGTAAACCATTATAACTAGAATTTTAACAACTGGTTGGAAATTTGAATTTCCACTGAACGATGCTACTTGAACATTTTCTGAAACGAACTTGCCGCCGAACAATGATTTCATCATATTTATCGAAGCCAACAGGACGATTAGACGTGTCCGTGTTATCAAACGTAATTGTTACTGTAGCTTTGCTGATACCAGCCTGACCTTGCTTATAAACGAGATCCGAAAGCTGTGCAGCACGGACCTGTAACAACATGTCCATTTGAATTGAGTGTCTTCGGTATACATCAAAATATATAACCCAAATATCAAAAATAAGTTTTTTCAATCTTTTATTCATAATCATGCAAATTACATTCATTTTTTTCCACATTACACATTAGATAGATTATACACTCATTTTTTGAAATTTCTTATCAAAGCTGTCACTTTCAGCCCAAACTAAAACTACTTTCATTAATTGAACAAAAAGTAGCGGTCAATATAATTGGACTCTTCGATTTTAATTCGCTTCAAATATCATTTTTCTAGAGACGCACACCTATTTTGGAAGGAAATTTGCAAATACTAATGTTACAGGAAACCAATAACCTGACTTAAATTGGAAATGCCAAGAACGAAACAAATAGCATCCAGAATATTTGACTTGCCCGAACCGTTTAAACCTGTGATTGCATTAAATTGTGCATCGAAACCATCAATAATCTGTCGCTGGGCATATGATTTAAAGCCATCTATTTCGATTCGTTTTATACGCATTTCTGCAATCATTATTACTGTTGTTCCCGCAAAACGAGTATATCTTTTCTATTGTATTCAACTGCTTTATTCTTCTCCATCATACCTTTGCGCTTCCTCGCTTAATCCTATCTTTTTCTTCTCTTTATCTCTTATTACTTAATCCTAGTTAATTCGTTACCAATTTCGCCTTAAACTTTACAAAACCAACCCACGTAAACCACGTCGAAACAAGGAAGTACACCAAGCTTAATCGTATTCGCGCCTGTATACAAATGCCTTCGGCTGTATGCAAACGTTAAATATCGAACTTCCAAAGCGTGTTTGGAGGCGTTCACTGTTCCCAATTTCTAAGGGGGGAAAGTCGCGGGGTGTATGCAGGAAGGAATATGGGGGTTCCGGGTTGCTATCTTTACGGATTCAAATGATGATGGCACGGTTACATATTATAACGCTTTCCTCTTTCTCTCTACAATTAAAACAATATTTCCTTCAAAAGAAAGATACGAAATCTTCCCGGTACTAATTAGAACCAGTAATTAAGAAAATACATATTAATATCGTTCGCCCATATCTTTTGAGCCGATGATGCTCAGTGCATCCTTAATATCCCTCATACCTCATATCAGTTATATTCTCATAGTTACATATCAGCATAGCTCTAAATAATCTTTATTATAGAGTTTCAGATATTATTTCAATTTCTTTGCATATACTTGAATTCCTTTATTTTGGGATGATTTTTCATATTTCAAGAAATGTCCATTATTAACGTTCTGTTTATCTGACGATTCGAGTTGAATCGATATTTGATAAGTGAGCGTCTGGATGTTACGATTCTTTTAGAATGTTTACATAGTGTTGTTATATAGAGTAACATATAGCTTGAATGAGTCTGTACTTTTGTCCTCACATTTCAATAAAAATGTTTGCATCACAGGTTTCTTTACACCCAAAACAAAATACGTAAATTATTCATTTAGATTTAAAATGATGAAAAATTGCTTGCGATCGAAAAATGTATATTTCACTGATATATTGTCTTGCAAAGTTACAGGTCAGAATTATAACTGCATGAAGGTATAAGGTATTCTATTTGCATTTAATCTTGAAAATAAACTAAAAATTTCTGCATTGTTACGTTATTTCCAGAGAAATACTGATCAAAATGCATCGTAAGCACGTTTCAGTTTAAAATTTCAAGAGAGAAGGGATTTAAAGTGATCTCCAAAATGCAAACCGTTCGTGACTGTTGGTTAATATGTTGGATCTAATTTAATTAATTTGAACTAACTGTGAAAATTTTTAATCTATTAAAATATTTTTCTCAAAACTATTACTTTTTTAGCTACTAAGAAAATACAGTTATAAATATTATACATTTCCTTCCTAAAATAGTTCAACAATTCTGAATGGACATAAACTTTCTTGGAATGATTATTATACCCATCTCAAAAAAGGGCTCATGAATGAACAAACCACTGTACATTTCTTCCGAATCGAACTGCATCACCATAGTATACACAAACAGTATTAATGATTTTTATAATA